GTGTATCGCTTGCACTGAAGATGGTTGTAAATTTTCTGTACAGCTTTAGATTCATGTCATTTATTTTTGCCACAATATCTGACAAATATACCCGTTTGGCCAACCACTTTCTCTCAGTCACTCGACAACGTACCTCAAAATGGTGACCAATGAACAAAGCCAAGAATTCCGTATGTAATCCTAACGAAGGCTGTAATATTTTGCCACTGGACAGCCCATTTATTTTAGTATGGACCAATAAAGATGTGTAGACACTTTTCTTGTTATCGTACGGAATTTTGAAAAGGCGATTCATCAGAGGCAGAAAATTAATAAATTTGATTGTTTTCACTGTCTCATCGAGGACCGTTTTGAGATTGGATGGTATCTTCTTACGGTCAGTACTTGTCTATGAATAATACACTGGCTATAGTGTAACTTTTGCAGCTGTTTGGTTGCTTGCCACAACATTAGCAACCTTTCCTTTCATTGATTCGGCACTATCAGGGGAAATATCGATGCGATTACCCTATAGAATGTTATTTTCCTACATACAACTATTCACAATTTTGAACATCTCAGCGCCACTATAGTGTACCAGTGTAATAGTACTAGTGTACTAGTGTACACAAAGGTCAATCTTCTTCCAGGATTCGTTGGTGTTGATATCTTACAAGCACAAGCAGCACGGCATGTTCTAACGCATCTGTCGACACATCCATTCGAAGAGCTAACTGATTATATCTGATGCGTGAGGTTAACTGCCTTAAGAACAGTTGCCTGTGTCTTAGTTCTTCGAGATACTGTATCGTTTGTTGGTGGTATTACACACAGTTTTTCTGCCAAGTTAGCATTCTGTATACACTTAGTCATTTCGGCTGCACATGGCGGGATACGTTTCTCGACTATTATGTGGGTACTCCTGTCATCGCAAAACCATAACTATGCACGATTCTTCAGTAGTCTTTTCATTTACAATCGGAGTCGCGTTACACATGTACTTTTGGGTGCTCAACAGCTCATCTCGCCTACGCTGAAAGTACCTATTTTGCTGTCTTTCCAGTTTGTACGCATTTTTCAACATTGCCATATTTTTACCGTCATCACGGAACCGTTGGAAGCACTCTGTTACACGAGACACACTGTGGGCATTTGTTGGACTCAATAAATCCAAATCCATAAATCCAAATCGTAGAATTTACATCTTCACCCGCTGGTACGGACGCTCCAGTTAACACTAACTTAGGTTGGATAGGATCGAGTGTAGTACAGGTATATTGAACGCTTTCTTTAATGCATGTATTCTTGCAGAACACATTGGATGACGACGACGACTATTCCTCTGACACGTCAATGTTCCCGTCTTCAGCTAACGGCCCATTTCGATGTTATATGTACATATGCTAAAATGGAAATCTAATTCAATACAAGAATCTAGAACACTATTTTGATAAGTCCGGGTTGGTATGAATTATTGTCGTGTCCAAATACTTTACGTTGCTTTTGCCCTCGATTCGCTTCTCCTACCCACACTTCTACTTAGTACTCGTTGGCCTACCATGTGATCTTGCATTTGATTGGTTGCAATTCGAACGCCTATCCATTTAATAGTAATGAGTGTATGTGTGGACAGTTTTCTCCATACTTACGTGCCTGTGCTGCTGTGGTTTGCTGCTTTTTCGGGACACAACAAATTGACGTCGCGTCTTAACGATGTCTTTGCATGCTACTGCCCCTTCACCGTACTAGACTGACTCTGTAGTTACCTCAAATGCAGAATGCTGGGAAGACTGGAAATTTCGTTTTCAGACTATATTTCCATGCTACCAGTTCTCAATCCATCCGTGACGTTGAAAACGGAAAAGACTTTAAAGCTTTGCGTTTACACCGCGGCTCAGAGGGTCGATGTATGTTTGATGCTCTAAATCTGCGGGACAAACCACGTTGACAGAGGACTTAACAACCCTCAATAAACATTGGGGTGTTCGAGTGAACACCTATACCTCTCGGTACAATTTTTCTCAGCTGAACCAAGCATCTGATGGTTGCATGTGCACGTGAAGGTCATCCACGGATTGTGCGAACAAAAGCTCTGATACTACAATACTATCGGTGGCCCAAGTTGAATTCCAGTGTCGAGGCGGCTATTTGGGAACGTTACACCTCTCAACAACCCGATGAGAGTGCGAGGCCCCTGAATGCTCCATTCCAAACTATCGTGTACGCAATGAAGCCATGGGCACACAGCGTTATGTATATTTTGGGCCTGTTTGCTAATGCACCCCCTCAGAAGCGGAACGTGCTAGTGACTACATGTTTCGACAACAAATCGCCAGTGGCTATTCTATGCGGGGACGTAACTACAGCCGTCGTCATAAAGTGGCTCCGTTGTTTATTTGCAACGTTCGGTTTACCAGAAGAAATAGTCACTGACAACAGCCTACAGTTTCGAAGTAACGAGTAGGCTGAATTCCTAAGGCTTACTGATATCAGACATATGAGGATTGTACCTTATAATCCTTCAGTGAATGAACTCCTCGAACGACTTAATCGTACTTTGAAAGAATCTCTATAAATCCTTCGGCTTTCGGGAGAATCCTGGGATGATGCGTTGGTATCTGCTTTGGAGGTATACAGAACCACTCCACATACTACAACTGCAACGAACCCACGGTGCTAATGCTAGGGCGAACAATTCGAGCTCGATTAAATGCAGCTTTTATATGCGAAGGAATCGCCGATCGCAGAGAATACGAAAGACGGGCTGTTTACCAGTCCAAGTATGGTCGCGTTGGGGAAACGTATGCTCCAGGGACATTAGTTTATGAGGCTACCCTAGTGCCGGAAAGGGGGTAATGTGTTCGGACCCCCGTATTGAATCGCTGTGTACGCCAGGAACATACAAGTTGGCTGATGGGACAAAGATAAATGTAAGACGGCTGCATATAGCGCTTTCCCAACTTTTTATTGAACACACGAACACATGTAACACACCGCTCGGTACAAACTAATGCAAACCTACGACGTTCCGGTCGGATACGCCCTCCTGTCTACCGATAGGTATAAAAGGATAACACCACATGACGATTCTCCGGGGTGTTGACATTAAATTAAATCGTTCATGGACATTGTAGTGCTTATATTTTTACGAACAGAGGAGGGGACAGTATCGTGTACAAATGCTTTGCTTTTGCCCTCAATTCGCTTCTCCTACTCACACTTCTAATTAGCACGCGTTGCCCTATAATATTGTAGCGAGAACGACACGACAGGGAGTAGACGTTTATTGCACACCGAAAATGGGCACATGAGGGTCTCACGCGCGCCATCGAATATCGACTAGATTTCCGTCCCACCACGCAACACAGGTACGGATGTTAGAGACGAGCCAGTCCTTTCGCCTCGGGAGCTCTGACTTGGAAGACCCGCCTTCCTGTTTTCGCCTCGATCTCTACTTCTCTCTACCCGATTTGGATCGGCCAGGAGTCGTTCGAGAGCTCTCGACTTGCTTGTTCTGGGCTGTGTCAATCGGCTCGGCCTCGGTCCTGTGGGCTGCGCTAGCGGCCTATCTGTCTGATTTATTGCGCTGTCCACGTATTCCCGCTCCGTACTTCTGGGCACAGGCTCGTCGCTAGCCGTCCTTCTCGATCCGCTCTCAGCTAGCTCCGAGCAGCTCCCCCGAGGCATTCTTGGAAGCGGACCCTCTACAATATAATCTTGCATTTGATTGGTTGTGATTCGAATGCATATCGATTTAATAGTACGGCGTGTGTGTGCAGACGGTTTCTCCATACATACGTTCCTGTGCTGCTGTGGTCTGCTGCTTTTTCGCGATACAACAAAACAAATACCTTTTCGTAACGTCGCAGAGCTAGTACCTCCTCAGTCCACAGAATCAAATGGACACACTTGTCAAAGCTTGAGATATTTGTGTTTTATTCCTGGTCCTTCAGTGTGAGTAGTGTGAGCATCTACCCATCGTATCAAGGTGAGAACAACACACTACTTTTGCGACAGTTTGCAGCTTTGCGCACCCATATTTTAAGTCTGCCGAACACAAAGAGCTTGTTTTAAATGCGCCATTCACAGGATTAATGTAGATCGTCAGATTTGATTTAAGTAATTTTCATCGATATTTGTCGTGGAACTAAATATAAAATGATTACGTCAGAATTCTTTTAATGCAATCATAACATTTCGGTGAAATCCCGCGAACCCTTTGTAATTATTTCGTGAATTCTTTTTGGATCCGTGGACCACAATTTGAGAAACGATGTTTTACTGAGCTAGTTGGGATGTTGGGTGTTTTAGTTACGACTTCCTGCAGTGTGACAGTACGACCTCATGCATTATACACCAATTTCTGTTGATTTAGAGTAGATGAGCTGAAAACAGTCAAATTTATGCTCTGCTAACGCAAAATATTAGGACTTCAGCAAGAATATGTCAGCGAAATTCTATGGCAATATTGCACCAGCATCATCCACCCCGAAACTACTGCGAATTTCAGAAGTTGCCTTGAATCCCGACTTTTCATGAAAGCATTGCACTCGAATTGTGCTTTACTACACATAACTGTGCTAACAATGAATGAACCGCATACTGCAGTGTCGTGCCGATAGAAACAGAGAGGTGTGTACATCAAAAAATCTGGTTCAAATCACGGTCCTTCATTAATCACAGTGAGACGGATGCTGCGCATCTGTTCCCCCACCTGGTGTTTGTTACTTAGAACTGTATTGGACAATGTCTATCACATGTGAGAAGAAACGAACAAAACATTTTCACAGTTTGTGTTCATGGGGACTGACTTGCTATCTGGCTTCGTGTAGTGGATTCGTAAAGAAGGATAATGTCATCCGCCGAGTTTTCGCCAACTGAATAGTGAGACAGTAGAAACTTGCTCCAAGGGTCAAGGGACTAGTGATGGTAAGGAATTACGTCATCCGGCTACTAAAACCCTTCACTGCACTATCGTTGTCGATACCCTCAGTTGAAATCCTGAAATCAAAAGACTCTTCATGCTGGTGAAAAACGTGAAATGTGAAACAAACAGATCGCCGTCATGGGATGGAAATTCCGCCACAGCTACCACAAAGTAAGTTGGTAATCGAAATTTGATGTACTCACATATATGAATACTATATGGATATGTCTAATCGATAGCGCTAAGGTTTCAGGAATATCCTTGAGGTACGCAGGACGACCTTACCAAAATGATTATCCATCTCATGCAGGAGAATTCTGATATTCTGAGGTTTCCGGATCAAGTACGATCCTTTGTACTGCTAAAGGCGAGTTTACACAACCCCGACGTTAATAATGAATTGTGGAACTAAACGTTGGGTACCCGAAAGTAAATGGAAATGATCGATATAAAATCGAAAGCCATTACACCACTGAGGTCGTTGGGTATAGGGTTAGTCGCGACTGCGTGGCGACGGCACCAACACATTTTGTCACGATTTCGCAGTCGAATGTGCGTTGGCAGTGCAACTATCCCGGATCTCTTCTCAATCTGCTGCGATAGTTTTCTTTGTGAAAGGAAAAACACACTCATTCCAGTAAACCTCGCTCGCAGTGCACAGAAACTACCGGTTGATTCCTGTTTCACATAGCAATGAATTCATTGACCTAAAAGCAAAGGCCGAAGAGCGATTCTCGGAGTCTTTGGTCATGCTAAGCCAGATTACTACTTGACCTGTTTGTAATTATCTGTCTTACGAAATTTCTGCATAATGAAATGTTCCCGTGTTTCCTAGTCTCCTTATTTGGTTAAACTAAGTTCAACAATAGCACGGGTTGAGTTTGATAGGCGTCACGCGCTCATTTTGATTGCAAAGCGCTGCTTCGTAGACATCACCGACGCTAAAGAGCAGCGCCAGTTCATGATTTCCATACAAGTAGATAGATATTTGTTGCCTTCTAGCAAACATTTTGAGTCATCCTGATGAGCGGCAAACTGATTACTGACCCGGACTTTCAGCAATCGTGGCTTCACAGATGCCACGACCACGAACACTAAACACACTGCGGATGTTCAGGACCGTTATCCTTGACAAGCATATTAAATATGTACTCGATGCACGCATAACTAGCAGGGAAAATATTTCGATTTACTCTTAAATCCACCGTAGTTTGCATGAACTGCTGAACAAAGCGAGCACGATAACCCATACAATCACTCCAGAAAGAATGTTTATAATCCGGCTGCAGTGCACTTAACCAGCAAAAGAACGTTAAAAAAGCTTGACCAATAGTTTATCTTCACAAACCTGTCAGCAACTCCTTCATGCGTATAGTTTCCAATTAGGGAATCCGTCGGGCTGACGGAGTAAACAACGGCTTTAATCTGACACAATAGTACCTCTGCATGTGAGAACTCGTTTGAATAGTAAGCGGCCCAGGATGGACGCTGCGTGAAACTGATACCAGGTGGTCCACCACATTGAAACCATCGTTCCTAAAAGCTGCGTGACAGCTGGAGCACATTTCTTCAATGGAACGTCAAGATAAGACCCATCGGTTCGCTGCTGTTGTAGAAGCTGTTGCGCAGCGCCTTTCTGATAAACCGACTCGGTTTGACAAGATACGGTCAAAGTGTACTGGTGTCGAATAAACAATTCCTCGACAGTGCTTGTCATGAGCATCCGGCTGTTTACCTCCGTACGACCATCACAAGCCCCTTCGTTGAGGAGTGGCGAGAGGGACAAGCAAGCATATGTGCGATCAGAGTGTCGAGGTACGGATCTGTGCGTGTGCTTCCGCAAATCCCCCGAACTCTCAACATGCTTGGCTAGTTTCATGTGGGTAAGTGCCCATCCATCAAAGCGTTCGCTTTCTACTGGGAGTCGCAGTTTACATTCTCACTCGTTGGACTTACGCGTACACATCAGACACCGGCGAATCTATGCGAACTGCAGGTCATAAGACAGCCTTTTGCAAATAGGTGAATACTGGTTTGTGAATGCAACCACCGCGTATTATTGATCGAACTTCGAGAAATCTGCCGCATTTTAACGGAACTTAGTCTGCGTCAGTGTAGAACTACATACGTTCACCAGTTAAGTTCCAGTTAAGATGTGAACTCGTTTGAATTATACTAATTTGTGCCATACCCCTTTATTCCTTGCTTCCTATAAATCAGAATTGCCTCCGGTTGCGGCTCGTAGCGCTTCGCACCACCGTTACTGGATGGGAGACGTCACTGGACCCGACACAACAAACACCACCCAATTAACGAAACATTAAGAACCGAAAGTTGTAACTTTCGAAAGCATTCGCACTGTCAACTACGGTGCGGAACCCGTTGACGGGCATAGGTGAGCAGTAGCTGATCCGAGCTGGGGTTGTGAAACAACGATCTTTAAGTGGGTTGTGCATTAGACTGATCAGAACAATCGAAATGTTGGCATATCGAAATCTGTCATGTTTCTTCTTTGATGAAATAGCTGAAGCGGACCCAATATTTTACAAACCTTTAATTAGTCAGCGAGCAGACAAACTCCCTTGAGTATTTGATAACCGTTCCGTCCTTACGGGATTCGCCAGTGTGTCGCCTTCTTCACTATGAGTAATCCAAAATTTCGAGTCAGACCTTCAAACAATTCCGATCCAAGGAAGTTTATCTAGCCAGCTGACAGTTCCTGTCTGCCGACCCGTAAACTTTTACAATGGAGAGCGCACGTCTGCACGATATCGTGTAAGTTGAAACCTTGTAAAGCACAGATACTCGCACCTTAGTGAGTACACATGCTTGAGATGCTTATGAATTTTCGAGAATGCACCTGTTATATAAGGCTTCGCTAATTACCCGTGACTCATTGTGCCTTCACGAATACAAGAAGACAGTAGTTCTTTCAGGAAACGTGAGCCGTGTGCATTCCATCTGCTACCGCCATATTACATCCAGTAAGTTGGTCACTATGGTCTTTACCGGCCCCATAGCTCAATTTTTCCAACCACAGACTGGCAACAGTCAAGTTGCCGGTTCGATCTTTACAAGGGTCAGATGGAATGCGTATTGCTGACAACTCCCGAAAAGATGAAACCGTCGTACAGGGTTTTTCCGGGCCTATGATGACAGTCGGACTGTGTCTAGATGAAGTGCAACCTATATTATTCAACTTCCCCAACTACTCTCTGCTAGACAGCCTTTCAGCAGGACAACCTTAATACAGTGTAGTTCATTTCACCTTATTCAGCCGCTTACATAATAGCAGTTGAAAATTAAAACGAACGGGACGTAAAGAGAACGCTGTTCATCCTCATCTCAAAGCACATCCTGTGGAAACTAGTATTGAGGGATGATAAATTACTTGCTAGATCAATTGCTGGGCTTTTACTGGAAGCAATGTGGTGTCAAAAACCTCCGTGTGGCATTCAAGATTGTTAACAGATAAACTCTTTCGAACTCGCTCGTGTTTGCTGAGGCCGCCTCTACCCGGTGCCTGAAAGCCAATCTGCACAAACAACTTGACCCTGTGGCCAACATTGTTCTGCCTTGTTATAGTGCGAATGTTCCCTACAGACATGCTGACAGCTACCTATCCCTAATATTGGTTTCTTACTCGTTGTGCACATAAGTGACCCACACAAAGCACAACCCTGACATTCTGAAATTCGATTCGCATTGGTGCTTTGCTTGGTTGATATATGGTGTTGCGGCTTTGTTAGACTTGCAGCTGCTGGCCTGCAATCAACATCCACTTCGGGTAACTCACTTAGTCGGGAGATTTGTGTGTAGGTGACGTAAGTAGGGATGAAGTACAAATTGCTTAACCCACCTTGTTCGCACGGTAATATCCTGTATATTATCTATGATTAAATGCTGATATTTCTACTCTTATCATTTATATGTGTATGTCCACCTGATTTTGAGATCCACACCGACTGTGCGAAAGCTCATACAGCTGTTGACATGCACGAAGGTTTGTATTGCCAAGATCGGGTAAACTGTCTAGTGAACTTGCTCAGTGAGATAATATTACCACTAGTTGTGCTGCCTATAATTTCTGTACCTTGGCATTTTCTTTTGAGCACTGGCTCTTAGTTACAGACGCAACTCATTGTTGACATGAGACATGGTGTTCTAATGAAAAGCGTTTTTAATCGCGATTCCTAACTACTGCAATATGGGTTACATCCTCGAAACGGCTTTCCGACGTCGCGTTAATCAGAACTAAACCTTGTGGCGTTCGTTTGGGATCTTCGGGTAGACCATATCTGTACAGACTTGAACTACAATCCGCTGTATACTGAATGGGTACATGGATTGACAAGCTACTAGAAGCGTCAACCGCGCATCAGATGGCTTTTAAAAACCACTTGGCAATTTAAAAGGCACCGAGCTTGACCAAGATAATTTTATTCCGTTCTGCGTAAAGTTAACATACCCGATTTCGGAATTGTTACAAATCTAACATCGTTTCAGATCCGCTGAGGGGACAAATGACAGTAGGTTCTATAGCTCCCTACTTTATTTACGGTCATCTTACAAACTTCAACTCATTTGTTAACTACGGTCTATACATAAATAAATAAATAGTATATTCCTCGTTGATTCGAGGGGCCGTCCAACTATGTGGTCTGATCAATGAAGGTCGATGATTTGCTAGTTTATCTGTTTTCAGCCTCCTTCCACCTAGATCCAAGTGGCCGCAACCAATAGTGTGCCGCCGTGTCCCCACTGACCGTCTCCGCACTGGGCTGTCGATTTCAACTTACCGGATCCATGATTTGCGCTCGTTCGCGATGCCAACCAGCCGGTTACGTTTCGTTGAAGATATAACAGAGACAAACGAGAAGGGAACTGACATTGGATGTGCAATGTTACTTCCTCCGCTCATATTGAAATTTAGCGAAAAAGTGAAGCTATTTGTGGTCCACTGTCATCTATCCACTTCCCGGGCAAAGAAATCGTACTGATCCCACTATGGAGATGCTAATAACGTACGCCGATATGTCCCGTGCCTTCATAACAATAAAGCGCACATCATTGCAACCGGTGCTAAGGTAATTTTTATCCGTGCCGACAGAACTCTATCCATTCAAGTTGATGAAAGTTGGTACAAAGTCGTACGTGGACCGAATACTGAGAACTTGACGAAGGTGGTATTTCCTATCGTTCTACCGGACACGGGAGCATCAGGAGATGATATCAGAACACCCGTCCTACATACTTATCCTGTTCAACCGAATCTTCACAGGTTGGTCTATTCATGTTGTCACAATAACCCCGTCTGATGAATCGCCATCAAATGAGAGTATTACATTGATTTTATCAACAACACCCCTCGCACATTTGTTTTCTCCCGCGCTAGCGTTGGGCGAATGTGGTATGCAAAGGAAGCAACAATCACTCCAGTGCGCTTCATTCAACTGTGAAATCAGTCAGCATGTGCTAGGAGCTGGACGATTTTCCTTCATACCTCGCTACCTACTTCCATTGTACATAGCATCACGATTTTGGACCCACCTTTCTGTTATTTTACATCTGCTAATAATTTTTACCTGTGACTATGAGAAGGGTGAAAAAGCAACTACATGGTCCTATCTCTTACCTCACTGGATTTGTGCAATTTCCTACTCGGGGTTGAGCGCACAATTGCGTCGCGAACTGGGGATCTGCCTTCCTGGTGCCGGGCATATGGAAAACTCGTGAGTCAACTCCACTTGCCCAGTAATATGCGATTCTCTTCGTCACAACAGACACTCAATTATTGGTGGTGAAACTGGCAATAATAGAAATAATTGTACTAGCGTTAACGATAATTTCTGAAATGGTGCATAAAGTCATCAGGAGTATTCCATTTAATGTGATAAACCGGACCACTGTGGCCAATTGTATTGGCTTACTTCGGACAAGACGGTTCTTTCCTACAGCAGCCTTAAACTTGCCTTCAGTTGCATCCATAGCTGGACTGAAAAAGTTGGACCCGTTACTTCAGTGTGCCAAATTAACGCCTCCTCTGTGAGATAGAGGAGGTGCCAAAGGGAACTATAACGGCAGCCTCCATGAAGTCTGATGTTTGCCGTTCTTTGAAGAGGCTGTTCAGTGGGTACATGTTGCAGCACACCTGAATGACCACTTACATAAACCACTTCCAAGCAATGTAGTAGGGCTGGAGCTAAGTTGTGTAGAGGAATTCTGCCATAGCTGCACTCCTCCAATCTGCTATCAAGCACTTCGCAATCACTTGTCTGGTGGAAGGAAGCAAGGAAGAGCATCATCTGAAATTTCAGCGCCGTAGTAGATAAGTAGTTAGGGTTTATTCTCAATTTTCACCAGACATATCTGCGCTGGTATGATCACTTTATTATAAGTTATATGTGCATTGGCTCCACATTGCTTCTTTGGGAAGACATCTCAGATGAGTACCGATCATATATATATATATATATATATATATATATATATAAATATATATATATATATATATATATATATATATATATATAGCGGCATCCAGTTCAGGATTGGCCTGTCACAGCAGCCTCATTAATACAGACACAGAACGCCTGTAGATGGACCGTGGTTGGCTTGCACTGCACTACCCACTGTTCCATCCTCACAGCATATGTCCAGTGTAAACCAGAAGGAATAAAACCGGGATGCGAGTGAATGGGACCCAAGTTTCTTCAACGGAGCCGGCCCACATTCTTTCACAAGCAATGACTGCGGTTTCTTGTTCTGGTCGGCCGGTATCGATTAGCCTTACTAAAGCGTCTGATTGCCCAATTTAGTCAGTTGACAAATATTACATGGTGTGATAATAAACCAAGAGTAAATTTACCCATCGCTGTAATAGCTTGGCTGTTTATGTCAGGACACTTTTCTTTGACCCAAACATTGCCAGAAGCGGCTTATGGTCCGTTAGCAGTCTGAAGCGTCATCCGTACAGCATTTTTTGAGGTTTCTGAACAGCAAAAACGATAGCCAATACTTCCTACTCAACCTGCTAATAACTCTTTTCATATGTCGTAACAGGTCGCACAGCTCATGAAAGAGCTTTTATGAAGCGTCCGTAAAATGGCCGCATGTGCTGGCCACAATTCCATAGCTGGGATCATCCGTGTCCACAACAGTTTCCAGCCTCATATCACAGTGAACAATGAACAATGAATTTATACGGGTTAAGAAGCGTTGCTTTACAAGCCCCGTTGGATAGTTGGTGGGGATATCAACATAATAATTATGATGAAAAGGATAGTAAAATAGTTAACACATTAAATACGAAAATAAGGACTTATCTTTTGCTTCGCTGCAGTCCTGCGATCCACTTAGATTCACAACACCCACAGTTAACAACAAATAATTCCAGGGTAAACTCCAGGTGTAGGATGGAGACGTAGTGTTAAGTAACAAAGTGTAAGTGGATGAGTGCATCGTCCAACCGTCTTTTAAATATTGTTAGTGTCGGTGCAGAGACGACCGATTCTGGGAGAGCATTCCACGGGTGACAGACACGGAATGCTCTCCCAGAATCGGTCGTCTCTGCACCGACACTAACAATATTTAAAAGACGGTTGGACGATGCACTCATCCACTTACACTTTGTTACTTAACACTACGTGAGTAAGCAGTAGATCCGACTTCAGCAGCGAGTTGAGCTATTCGCATGATTGCTGACATTGTTTGGACCACTTCCATTCAGCATACCTTATCAGCAATTGGTTCAACGAAGGAGGTAAGCGAGACACATACGGCGGATTTCACTATCGTGGCGACTCACCATTCTCAAGAATGATCGCAATATTGTGATATCCGTTGGTGCTGGTAATCGATAAATTGCCTTGATGTTTTCAGAAGGTTTGAATACAAATCGGTTTCGGTAGGGTTTTGTATTCAACTTGTATTTGGATTCAAACCTTCTGAAATCATGAAATCCCAGTCGGTTCCAAGCATATTCCGAGATATTGCCTTGATGTTATCTGGATTTAGTCTTCGGTCATGCTGATTAATCACAAAGCCCAGGAAATTGATGGACTTCATCAAAAATATGCATTCGTCCGTGGGCAAATTGAAACCCTCATCTATGATTCTCAGCATCACCTCATCCAATCGCTGAAGCAGTTCATCTTTCCTTCCGGCTCCTTACGATAATGTCATCTAAATAGGCTGCCGTTCCAGGTGCGCCGGTCAGCATGGTGTTCATAACTTGCGAAAATCACATGTGCTGTTTTGACTCCACACGGCGGTCGGTTGTATTGATAGAGCCCGCGATGCGTATTTATCGTAAGAAGATTCCCGCTTCCTGGCTCAATTTAAAGTTGCGAACAAGTAGCTTCAAAAGTGTAGCAAGCTAATTTGCTCCAATCAGCTTCGTAAACCCGTCCTCGGGGAGTGGTAGTGGGTATTGATGAGGTTCCCATAGGGCAGTTAACTAAGTTGAGAAATCGGCAAACAAGCGAATATTGCCGTTGGGTTTCTTGAGCACAACAATGGGAGCAGTCCATGGTGAGAAACTGACTTGCTCACACACGCCAGCACGATGTAGCTGTTCAAACTCTTGTTCTACGCGTAGTTATGAAGCTTACGGGACTGGACATCTAGGTCAAACTACTGCTTTTGAGTCGGAAAAGACTGCAGCATTCAAACTCGAATCGGAATACATAAGCATATTTCGCGTAACGTTGTTGGGAGAGGTTTTCACTGGGATGAGTTGGTATGGCAGTACGGTTGACCATGACTTTTGTTTCGGAGCACACACGATTCAGTGGCTTGTCAAGCAGATTTAGCTTCATCATCCAATCCATTCCGAGTAGATTATTATCGGTACAAGAAGCTATATATATTATGCCACAGAGTTACAAATTTTGAACCTGAGCCCACAGTCAGTTTCTCCGTCTAGCGATAACGGTTTTCTTGATGCATTTGAGCCGTGTGAATTGCGTTTGACTGAAGATTGGCCCAGCTTAATATTGAAACTTGCATGTTTGACTGGAAGTTCACGCAGCTTAGCCTATGTCGATCGAATAATGAGAGTGATATCAGGCGCTGTATCTAGCCGCAACGAAATCAGAACACCGTTGTTTCACAGTCAGGTATTTTTCCGTTGTGAATTCTGTGCGAAATGCGGCAAGAACCACTTTCCTCTTTGTACCCTGGAACCTGGTCTTCCTAAACTTGGAGTTTGCTCGAACCCTTGGAGTAAATATGTGTATAAGATTGTGCGGTCCTCGACAGCGTGTTTCTTCATGACCATTGCGCTTGCATTTGTGACATTGATGATTCTTGTATTTGTAATCTTCGACAAAGTGCCACCCGCCACAATTACAACACTTAGTGGGAGGCTTCCGATTCGGCACGTTTTGATTCATATGTTCGTTGTGAACGGCTGTGCAACAGATGGGGTGCTTGTTTCCGGAACCCGAATTTTCCACCATTTTTGTGTCATGTTTCAGATCCAGTAACCTCTGGCACTCAGGTGCAACCTCCTACTAGGTCAATTGCGGTTCTTGGTCTAATTTGTGAAGGACAAGCGTTCGAACATCGACGTCCGCATGGGATTGAAGACTGCATACAAAGATAAGGCTCGTGAATTGATCAGCTATCATAGCGTCTAGTCTAAAATGTTTACACTCTCGGTTCACGATAGAAAAATAGAACCATGGTTTTATACGGGTAAATAAGCTAATGCTTAGCAGATCCCGTAGGATGGTTATGGTGAAACGTCAAAATATAAAAAGTGTTAGCAAAATTTGGTTTACATCAGTGAACTCACTGAGGCATACGTAGTACATGCTGTAAATCCAAGCTGAATCCATAACGAATGACGGCAAATGGGATGTTACAAATCATGTCTTCTGCTGACATACCCATGCAGGAGTTGACAAAGTGGAAGGAAAATCTGGGATTGGATCGCCAGTGAAATCTCTCACGGACACTTGTGTTTATCCATGGGTAATGAGTCATGTAAGGTGGTGTAGCGAAATAACTGCACGATCAACTCTAGCTTTGAACTCTGCCATCGTGGGAGCACATCTGACAGATTCCGGTAGAGCATTCAACGTTCTGTAAACGCGTATGAAAAGAAATTCCGACGGCAATTCAAATGACTGTACGGATCTGCCAGTTTGAGATGATGGCCTCTCAAATTGCTGTTGTGACTGAGCTCTTACAAGTATCGGCACATGTCGTTAAGGTATC